CAACAAATACTAGGGGCTAGTCAGACAGGTTGGTTGCATCTGTGATCCAGCATTCTCCCCCTACCCCCCAACTTGGTTTTTCGAGACAGAGTTTCTCTGGAGCTTTGGAGCCTGTAGGTAGGGAACTTACTCAGTACACCAGGCTAGCCCTGAACTCACAGAGATCCATCCTCCTGCCTCTGCCTCCCAAGTGCTGGGATTAAAGGTGTGTGTCACCACTGACCTGTGTGATCCCAGCATTCTGAAGTCTAAGAAAGAGCATCCCTTAGAGTTGGAGGCTAGTATGTACTAAACTGTGAGAGCTTGTCTCACAAACAGAAACACCAACCAAGGGTTAGGGATACAGCTCTGTAGTAGAGCAACCATCTAGCAGGTGCAGGGCCTTGGGTTCCTCCCCTAGTACTGAAAACAAAACACAACAACAAAACATTTCTGTTCCAAGCAAAATGCAGGACAAACCTTGCTGCTGAATAAACAGCCAAATTACAAGGGGTGGCAGATCCTGGAATCCAGCACACCTGGCCCTCAGAGACTCAGACCAGGAAAGGTTGGCTGAAGTAGAGCAAGAAGGTGGGTTGAATAGTGAGGGTTGGTTTTGAATCCCCAGCTTTCTGGTTCTCAGGGGGCCCAGCTCAGCTGAAATGCTGACTCATTCCACTCTTAATTGCAAAGGCAAATACATGCCAGTACAGCAGGCACTGGCTCAAGACAGCAGGACATTTTAGCGTCTACAACAAGCACTGTGAAACAAGAAGTGCCACAAGATGGCTCCCATCAACTTTAGTTCCCACCAGGCTTTCAACTAAGAAAGCTGTCCAGAACCTGAAAGGTACAGGATGAGTGAATTTCTCTGTCATACACACCCTGCTCCTATTTACACACAGGACTGCCAGAGTTCTATTTAGAATTTCCTCCTAAGTAAGGAAAGAGGCACTGAGCCGTAACCACCGTGTGGGTGCTCTGCAGTACCCATTGAACTGTAGTGACCAACAAGTGAGCACTGGTGCTAGAAGGCACAGCCCTGAATAGTGACAGCTGTTTCCAAATACCCACTCTCTTCCTTCACATCCTGTTGCCACCTCCAGTGTTCAGATATGTCACCACTTGCCTGACAAACAGGGAGCTGAGTCACCAATCAACAGAGCCGAAGCAGGGAAAACAGTAAGGTACTCTATCGGGAGGAGCAATCTAGCCAGGAGAAACAAGCTACACCCAGCAGTCTACAACCTGCTAATGAAAAATTATCTCTATGATGATGTGTCTATAACTAGTACCAACCAAGAGGTCATCTCTTCATTTGCCACAGGAGCTCCAGAATCACCTCAATGGGCAATGTGCCTGAAATTGACTGTGAAACCAACCCACCTTCCACACAACACTGTCACAACACGAACACTGCACTGCGTCTACAGTGTGTCCAGAGCACTCACAGATGCAACAGAGCTTTGCAGCAGACGAGGCATCCAAACTAGGAAAGCCAGAGCTAGAAAGTTTGGCTCCCTTTGGGCAAGTTCATCTTTGCCTTTACTTATCCAAACAGGCAACTTGCCATAGCCTATGAGGCCTTAATTATGTAACTGACTCCCGACCATTTCCTTCATTACTTCTTGCCAAAGAGCGGGCTGTTCCTCCAGGTCCTCAAAGCACTCAGCCAGAATGCTGCAACCTTCCTGTTTCCCTCCCATCCTGGCTGTGCACCCCTGCTGTGGTGAGGTACAACTCAAGCCACATCACTAAAGATTCCACAGCAGGGCTGAATCAGTCTCTCTGGTACTACTAGAAGTTTCCATCCAAACAGACCACATATAGGTTCCCTAAATTTGGTTTGACTTAAAACTATCCACAGAGACCTGGAGACGGTTTAATTAGTCGCTTTCAACAGAGGTATTCACTGGAAATGAATCCCTAATCCTCACCTCCATGAAAATGTTTCTAGGGACACCTCAGGCACAGAACAATGAAGAAGGTGGTTCTGAGACATGAGACAGTACACAGAGAAGGTAAAAGACTAAACAGCAATGGATGGGGGGGCAATGTCAGGGCCTAGGAACCTATCCTAGAGTTCGGCTATATGCAAACACTCAAATTCAAGAGCCACACATTCATTCACCGCTAACTTGCCAGGCAGGGAAGTAAGGGTAGCCTGCCTTCCCACACAATTTCCTCTTGGGTCTCTCTGAATAAGGCAAAAACCACATGGACAATTTTCTAAAAGAGCTACCCTTACTTACAAAAAAATTCTGTCAAGAATCAAAAATCTAAACCTTAAAAGTCAATGAAGGAAAGCTCTAGAAGACAGACTAGGAGTTAGAAAGCCCTCATACAGAATCAGTCACTTTATCTTTGGAGGAATAAATTGGAGAATGGGGGTGGGTGTATCTCTGACTTGAAGCATCTACACTGTCATGGTCAAAGCCCATTGTACTCTTACTGGGAGATTTTTGACTTGCTTTCAAATTAAACTTTTCATCCAAAGAAAACAAAAACTTCCAAGGTTACAAAGTATTAAAGCTTTGCTGTTAAAATCAGAGATTCCAAGTGACACCCTTTTCTTTTGTTTTTGCAACATCCATTAATTTCATTATTAACTAATACTGGTACACCAGTTTGGGGAGGGGAAAAAAAGGTACTACTGTGACATTCCAAAAATAAGGACTACCTAAATGCAACTGACTTAGTATCAGGGACTCCTCTGCAAACAAAAAACAAACCCTTGTGTAGCTATGCCTTAAAGCTCTTTAAAATGTGTTGAGGAAACATCTTCAAGTTCAGCAAAATGACTGCTAAAATTTTCATTTCCAAAAGGAATCCCATTTCCTTCTAACATTTTATTTTAAAGTTTAAACATCCTTTTGCAATTTAGTAACCCTAAACATGTGGAATGGAAAGGTTATCAGTTGGCAATCCAGTTTCTGTTCTGAGCTCCTAGAGGAATTTTACACAAGATGGGAACCTTCAAATGTTTTTTTCCAGCTGACCCAGCGCACTGGACAGTGTATTGAGTTCGTGCTTTAGACATTTTGTGCAGTAATATGGTATGTTATGAAAACGTCTTCCTCGAGTAACTGTTTTACATCAGACCACCATTGCACGGCAGGGAAAACTGTGGATATATTAAAAGGAATAAAACGAGAGACCTGACAAACTGCAGTTTCCATGCTCAAGGGCGGGTGGGTGGGCCTCTTTTTTTCTGTGGATGCAAAGAGGGAAACAGGTTCCTTTGGAAGGGACTAGGCTTATGTGTGAAAACGACTTCCCTAACAAAGTACATCAGGGACCAAAAGTGGGCCAGGGGACAATGGTACCTCAACGTGTTTTTGTCTTTTAACAGAACTTATGCTTGTAAAACACATCAAAAGGACAGTGTTAGGTCCTGCAAGTCATTGCTGTGGTTTTTGTTGTCCATGTTTCTTTTTAACTTGTATGTGTAGGATGAGGGGGCACTGAGGATGGGAGGTGTCCTCTCCAACATGACTGGGCGTGTAACACGTTTTACATCAACTTTTCAGTCAGGCATGTGCTTTCGAACAAAGAGCAGTGGAGACAGGAGAGATCAGGGTTTGACACAGTTTACAGATACATTTTGTGCTTAGACAGTACTTTACAAATGACTTGCTCAATTTAAATGTCTATCACCACAAGAAACATTCCAGTAAAATAAGGAAATTGGACCTGCTTGAAACAGTCTTTTTTTTGGGGGGGGGGTGATTTTAACTTGAATAAAAGTATAAACCAAATCAGTAAGCTTGTTCCCTACACTTGAAGCAGCCACTTTCCCTGAAGGCTGCAGACAAAGCAATGGATGGATCTGGAAAGAGGGTCACCAAGGGTCGGAAACATATTGGGCTTTTTCCATGGATTTTTGTCATGTTACAGTAACACTTTTTTTTAAAAAAAAAAAAGAAAGAAAGAAAACTGTGTACATCAAATTTTCAAAACTAAACACTGAAAGGATGTGCAAGTCTAAAAGGGCTCAATAGGGTTAGAATCCTGATTAGAACATAATAAATCCACTCTCAAGCATCACTTTGGTCTAAAGGCGAGGAGGAAGCAGGCAGGAAAGGGACTAAAAGAGGGAGATAATTGAATTACTCAATAAAAGAGGCTACTTACCATCCCAACCCATTGTAAGACATACACTTCTGACATAAGAGAACTCCTTAGAGGTCGGATAAAGCTCGTAAGCACCTTTGAGTAAGGCACCTGCCCCCCGAGAGGGCCTGGAAGCCCAACGTGGGCTTAGCGAACAGACCTCCGCTAATCTGTTTATTTCCTTGAACTGTAGTCTGGCTGCGAAGGGCTGCGATTCCCAGGACGATACATTTAATTAGAACAAAACAAGAAAAAAAAAAAAAAGTAAAAAGCTCACCAAACTGCTGCACCTGTGTCTTTGAATGTGGGTGTCATTTCTTTTAAAAGGCAAAGGAGGGTCTGTGAAGGAGAAAGGGAAACGAAAGAGGACGTGGGAGTGGGGATAAAGGGCTGAAACCCTCGTCTGGAGGGGTGTTCTGGGATTTCCCAGGCGGCTGCAAGCCATCTGTCCAGCGAATTCTCCACCCTACCCCAGCCCCCACTGCCTGCAAGACTCGCTTTCCTGCCCACTGAAAACCACCTTTCTATTTTCAAACCTACTCCTTCCAGCCCCCAGGAGTCAGCAAATCCTGTACCCCATACCCTTATGCTCCAGGAGGGCCAAAAGGGCCCCAACCTCATCCTGAAAACGCGCGGGGCTGTCCCCATTATTACCCGCCAGAGAAGGGCGTGGGGGAACCCACTTCGCACTTAATAAAGGACATGGGGTGCCACAGTTCACATCCTGCCAATGTATAAGGGAACCTCCTTTGCTCCCATAAGAGCAATAGCACCCTATTTTACCATTAAAGAGGGGACATGCCCAGAAGAAAACAGTGGCCAACTTCCTCTCCTATCTACAGCAAACAACCTTCAACACCTCCGAAAAATAAAAAAAACCTTAAGGTTCCTCCACCAAAGTCACCTACCTACAAAAAGAGGGGATCCTGAGAAAAAAAAGCGGGGTCGCCAAAAAAGGTCAGGAGCTTTCACCTAAAAAGCTGGAGATGCACCCTTCCCTGCCTACCTTCTAGGGAGTAACTAGAAAATACCTCCCGCCAAAAAATTCAGAGTGCACAAGAGCCCCCATCCTAAGGAGCCCTCCACAGAAGGATGGAGGCGAAGGCTGATCCGAACCCCCACTTTCTGCCTCCGTTAGTCTCGGGTACCTATCCAAAATGAGCAGGGTATATACCTCCCCCAGGAGAAAGGATACTGTCAGGGATTGGGAGGACACCCAACTCCGAACCCCTAAGAGAGGAGCTGTAAACTGGAGATCCCCCTAAAACAAGAGAATCCGGGGGCCCCTCCCCCAATGCCTTCCCCGAAGCCAGGCGACAGGCCGCTGACGGCCAGCTCCGGGCGCAGGGGCGGCCGAGGAGCCTG